ATTTGTGACTTGAAGTGCTTGAAATGACGTCATATGAAGGTTTTGGAAAACTCAATAGTTTTCTGTAAAAAGAGTTCAAATTTCGCATTAACAGTGCCGCTTAAACGCAATTTTCTTAAAAACGGCTTCACATTTTTCAACGAAAATTGCCATTTAGGGCGAGGTTTTACTGTTTTTTAAGATTTATAAAATAATGTTTTCGTTCTACTATTAGGAAACCGAAAAATTAAGACAAAAACTACTTTGAGCGGCGATAGATGACAGCTGACAAGATAGGTGGCAAGTCCGAATAGCTAGCCGACACCAAAGGAAATAGAAAACTAATACGGGAGAGTTCTGTAGCAACACTAGTATCGTGTTTTGATGCCTCGGCTTGCAGTAAGCTAATACTACTGCCTTTTTAGCATTAATCTTTGCCAACTTTAGTTCTTTGTCTGCTAATCTTCACTTTTTTCGATCCTCTTTCTCTACTAATCGTTCTCGTTCCTCTTTCTCAACATGTTTACTACACCATTCTTTCTCATAATCCTCATGATTTTTATAGCAAATTCTAATCTACGTAATATTAGGCTTTTAAATTTTTCTATGATTTCTTTACTCATCTTGGTGTATTTACTTAAATTTTCTTATAAAGAAATGTCATAACATTATCAGATAAAAAATTTAAAACCTGACGATAAAAATCTTTAAAAGTCCTTAAATATTTTAATTTTCTTCACAACCATTTAATACTTCTTTCAAAATTTAGTGTTATTTATAATGTCTTTACAGTTTTTGTTCCAATCGGCTCCACAGGCCACCATAAATTTTTTAACGTCCATTCCTAACGTAGCTACTAACTACTTTTCATCTGAAGTAAAGTCCTATTAATGCCGTATATCAGGTACAACCATCCTAAATTGGTATTCGCGCGGTAAACGAGGGACGTTCCGCTGATAACTAGGCACATTACATCGCTAACCCCAATTCAACGTACAAATCTTCAACGTCTCCATCGTCTGAGAGTCATTGACTGCTCGTCAACAGCTGCTTCTTATGAGAAATAAAAGTCTTTCTTACAACAAAAAATAATAATTGAATCACAAGGCTTCCACCTTAGTTTCATAAGCTACATCAAGTTCTTTAAACACTCAGAAGTTGACACTACTATGTCTTTAGCAAATAATGAATTCAATTGCATAAAACCCACAACCTGTGGAAATGAGTTCTTGGCTTTGTCTTCATGACCTTTAAGCATTATACTTATTTATCCAGGGTCTTCTAACACTATACTCCTTTACTAGGTCGAGACAAATAACAATAATAATCCACTACGTTATATTATCACCGTTCTAGTCCAGCTATTCGACGTTTGTCTTGAGCTCCGTATGCTGCCGTGGTTAATAGGTTCAATAACACGTAAAGTTACATTGTATTTAGTATTCCATTTTAGAAGTACATATTTACAAAACCCAGAGCTAAAAAATCAATTTAACTCGAACCTACTATTTCCCTGCATTTTATACGATTATACATATTATATTCGTACAACAGTACTTCCTCAGAGCTTGACATAAACAGTTTCTTTCATTTCAATCGCTGAAATGGATCGTGTTTAAAGATTTTCAACAACCTTTCAATTACAAAAGACGTTCCACGTATGTACCAACCACATGTTAATTTTCTGTAATATTATTCATGTGCACTAATGTTGTAAAGATTGCCGAGGCTACAAAGTCACATAATCTTGTACATTATTTGTAAGGGTTATGTAATATTATAATAATACCTGAATCAGAGCAAAACTTTTGCAATTTGATAAGCTATCGATTGCTCGGGTTTTTGCTGTCGACGATGACGATTTTACTTGAAGATCACTTAACTAAACTTATTCCTTTGCGCGTATTTCGAACCCGTAAAAACATACACCTGGGATAAATATGAAAGTTAACATGTTTATGCTCCTGTTCATTAGTGCGGTATTCGGTCCTCATGCATAAAAAAATAAGTATATTTAATTTTTGAGATTTCAAAATTTTAATGAAGAAGTCTTAGATTCCTAGAATTCAGTGCAATGTGCCCTATTCGTAAAAATGTTGAGAGAAAAAATTTCAACCATTTTTGAGAAAAGATTGTTTATTAATTTAAGAAAATATTAATAATAATAATAATAATAATAATAATAATAATAATAATAATAATAATTCAACTAAAAATTATTCCAAAACTATTTATATTGTTAGAAAGGCAGTATTAATAAATTTTAAGATCTAGTATTTTAGAATATATTATATTACAAATATAAAAGAAATATTTAGCTTCTTTAATGCATGTGTAATGTTCGAAAAGATTTATTTTTTGAAAATTCCTAAAGGGAACTCCATATTTAGTACCTCTAAAAAATATTTTAAATAAACGTTTTAAAATTGCAAAGCGTCGACTTTGGCTAGAGCGAATACGATGTATTTATTTCGGGGAAAATCCTGTAAAGGATTTATGCACTAGGTTTTTCACAGATGAACGAAGAGTCTGATGCATGGGCGGAGGCTTGCGGGTAAAAAAGTTCAGTATCAGAGCCCTTTAAAAGTGCGTATTTGTCAAAATCTCTACATATATTTTTCGCTATATTATGTAGCTTTACTTAAAATTATTTTATTATTATATAAATGCATTTAACTTATTAAATTTTTACTAAGATCGTGTTTTCACGCATTTCAGTGATCCATGCATGAAATATACAACGTAGTAGGTATCCATTGTATACAACCAAATTTATTTCCTATAAATTAAACTTCTTATACACATCATTGCTCTATTAAAATTAAACTTCGCTAAATAATAATTCTTGTAAATTTATCTCCTTCGGTAGTGTCATCTGTAGAATTTACTACAACGAAACCTTTTCTCTCGACTAGCTCACTGTAGTAGCTCTGTATACAATTTCTCACACACTTGTGCAACGAAACACTCATGCGTGGGTCTGCCTATTGTATGCAAAATTTCATTCATCGGGCATAATTCGACATGCCTGCCCCGTGAGTTGATGTTTACAGAAAATGTCCGCCACATAGTGCCAGGAGCTTCCCGTCCGTTCTATTCTGAAGTTTTACCTCATTCTGTATTATCACTCGTGGTGACACATGCTGTTTACTCTGTTTAGCCATGTAATCGGTTATTTTGAAACACATTCATGCATAACTATTTGCGGGGCGTGGTCAGGAAGTCACACGGAGGCATGATTTGTAATTCATCGTAGAAACTATTTGTTTTTGGCATTCCGTCTAATGGAAAATATTGGCTTGAAATCAATGTATTTATACATCTGTAATGCCAGAAAAATAAACTCCAAAACTTCCTTTTTAATAAATATTGTTTACAATGCAAATGCAAAATTCGTTAATTGAATGTATTCTATTGCGAGTTTTTAATTAAAAACTTGATGTAACTCGACAACGCAGGCTTCTTGAAACCCAATGTTTATGGCCTATTCGTTTACATTGGTTTGATGACTAACTGTCATGCGTACATTTTTACACCTGCATTTCGACATGATTTGTTTTAATTTTTACAATATTTAATTTAGTGACGATCTCGAATCAATGTGAAAACCATTTCTAACTTATAACTTCATGCATGAACTGTCACTTTAAGATGTTAACAACTGGCGCTTAGCTCATCTGCTAGCGAAAAACTGTACGTTGCATTAGCAAAGTGATGCGGTCTTCGTAGATGATCAACTGCTTTAGAACCAGTTTGCTGGTGGTTTTCAAACCAAAAAACATACAGTATCAATCTCTTTAGATATTGCCTAGGCATACCAAGTAAATAAAACGGTGATTTAAAATAAGTTTTGTGGAAATGGAATTGTCACACATAACAGATGCCCCTTCTTCCAGGGTCTAAAGCTATTTTTAATCGTCTTGTTTATAATTCAGTGATCGCCAAAGAGTCGATTGCGAACAACTAGTAGCTCGCGGGGCAATTGTTTTGTAGATCGCGGTCATGCTCGAGATTGGCTAACGAACTTGTTCTACAGAGCTCAGATAAATGACATTTTTCTTATACACAGTTTTATTAAATGTCGTTTCATATTTAATAGAAATGTATGTTTGTAGACAATAGACAAATGTTAAGATATTTTTTTCTGTCTTGGTTTCTTAGTACCTCACAGTAGGATTAAATATTTAAACTTTGTTTCGATCAGAGAAAGGAATTGTGGCTTGCGTGTAGAATAAGTATTTTTGTTGCTACTGACACTAGTATGTTGCCTATATAATTGCCAGTAATATAGAAATATATAAATAAAGAATTAATTAATTAATTATTAAGTATATGAGTAAAAGAGCATACAACAGCTGTGACGTATTTTCAGATATATAATTTTATTGCAAAATGGAATAGTCTTCCTGATATTTTCGCGTTTCAATCTGCATTAGCCAACCTGGATGGCCGAGGTGGCTAAGAGCGTGTACTCACTCAGCGCTTCGGTCCCTTGTTTCAGGTTCGAGAAGGTTCGAGCCTTGAGTGTGGTTGTTTGTCCCTTGTCTCTCATGTGTGCGTTGTCGCGAAGGGCCTCGAGTAGGTGCAACGTCGTTCTGATCTGGCAACCCTGTGTGCCGCTTAGTCTAGAACCGGTGTTTAACACGTATTGCAATTAAAATTATTACATTTTTATAGAAATTACATCAACATGCTACATCGTGGCAGCTAGAACACTACATATACATCCTGCTATGTGTGTGGAAGTTTTGTGCCAATAAGAAAGCAGCGCAAAATAACCGAGTTCATGAGAAAGGCCTTCCTCTGACTAGAGCCCTCAAGTGTGTTGGTGTCTAGCGCAGGGTCGAATGTGCGTCCCAACGGGACGAAAAAAAAAGGGTAACTGGCTGTGAGCTGGATAAAAGCACTGAGAGGGGGGAAAATCAGCATTAGCTGGTCTGGGGTTCTATTTATGGTCAATTTTACGTGTCGTTAAACTGCTCGCGAATGCCTTTTTTTAATCGCATGACCCGATGTCGCAGCATTCGAGTGCTCCGCGGGCGGCGCAGCGAAGTTCCGCGACGAGACGGCGCCCATCGCCGTCGGCTCCACTCTGGCTGTGGTGGTGCTGCTCACGGTCACGGGCTATGGCGTCTACCGCTACTTCAAGATCAAGAAGGTGCAGTACGACACGATGGAGTAGCGGCCGGGCGCCCGCGTCCTCGCCGCGCCCACAGCGTCGCGCCCTCGCCGCCGCCCCGCGGGGACTCGGCGCCCGACCCCGCTCCGCCCCGCCCCGCCCCGCCCCGCTCCGCCCCGCACCACGCCTCACCGGTCCCCGCCTCTGCCCTCGCCACCATCGCACGCTCCGTCACCTCGCTGGCGTCTGTTCGTCTCTCGGGATGCTGGCGGTTCTAACGAACTGAGAAAGAAGGGTTAGTCTGGTTTGGGCCGGCATTTCTTTAACTTAAACAACTTAATTGTAGTGTTTTGTATTGCAAGTGACGAACAGACTGTGTTGCGGCAAGTACTAATCGCGAACGGTTCGCCGTAGGTGGAGTTAGAATGAAGTAATGAAAATGCATTGATGCTTCATTAGCATTGAGTAGGGATGCAACTGATTTATTTCTTTTTTTTTCATTCATTTATAAATGCTATTTCTACATCAGCTTTTTATACTCATGCTAATGAAGGTCAATGCAATATCATACTCCATATTTGTTTTGCGGACAGTGTGGCGTACGGCTAATTCATATTTTTTTGTGACAGCGTTTAAAGGATGTTAGTCCCTTCAAACCATGATGTATGGTGCATTCCAAAACCGTATTATTATAAAGTTTTCGGCTCCCTTTATATTACATTCAAGAAGTGCAATAGTTTGTTGTGAGAGGGCTGCGAATTAAGTTTTTCGTAAAATATTAAGGCCGTTGTTCTTTGGGGTATATGATTCGATCTCCGAAAATCATAATTTATAGGAAAGTATTTGCCATCATCTGCTGTTTGCTAAGCAGGTAAATAATTTCTGTTAGGTTAGCTTTGGGGAATTCACTGAAAATGTTCGCTTCGGAAAACAGTACCGTCTGTAAAGATAGAACCTGTGCCCTGCATAATCATCATGGCATCTTTAGAACGATATTTTGACGTTATCGCTTCATCGACTCTCTTGCTGTCGCCATTACTCCCATGTAGAAGTAGCCCTTCTTTCACAGGAAGATCGACATGGCCCAAGTCTGCCGTTAAAGTGGGGTCGGTGGTTTGTGTGGAGCATGGTGACAAACGCAATGACGCTCATCAATACACATCGGTGAACGTGTTGGCAATAATGATTTTTTTTCTGGATAGACATTTGTGGAAGACAAGATGAAGCCCGATTGTATGTCAGGGTGGTCAGGGTAATACTATGGGGGAAATCTAAACCAGTGGCCAAATGAGTCTCACTGACCACGCAAGTCAAAATTGCTAATTAAGTAAAACCAAATAGATTAACTTATTATAATAATATGCGTTAAATTAAATAATAAGCATATTTATTATAATATTAAATATATTTAAAAGATAAATATATTTAATATAATGGGTTAAATTAAAAGAACGTTTGGAGAGATATTAATCTAAAATTAGATCTCAGTGTCCTGGCCGCCTTGGTATCAATTTGAGCTTAACATTCTCTTATGCAAAAACTTATCCAGCAACTATTGGAGATCGACAGTTGGCCATGAGCGTCACTTACTTTTCCCACGACCCCCACACCTCACCGCCCGTCACTCTGGCGCCGGCCGGGCGTGCAGGCTTTCCACTGCGAGGGGTTCGGCGGAGCGCGCTAGTATAATACGCACGGGCGCAGGCCCTTTGAGAGACTAGGCGTGCCCGACGCGTTCGTGGGACATAAGGGGTGGGAGGGAGGGAGGGAGGGGAGATGACTTCGGCCTATGGGGCCGTTTCGCGGGCCACTCCTTCCAAGGGCCTACCTTTCCCTGGCGGCGGGGCGGCCCTGGCGGGCGGGCCGCTGCTGGCTCTCCCCTATGGTCGACGCAGTGGCGGCACCTGAGGTCCGCGCTTTCCTCGGACCGGATGCCGCCTTGTATTTTTTTTTTGTTACTGTCGTCGTCGAGAATGAGTATTTTATTTTTTAAAAGTTCTTGTAAACATGATGTAAACCTGAAAACAGATGAAAAATGTACAATGGTTTGCCGTCTAATTTATGTTTCCGTGTTCTACTGGGATAGAATAAAAGCAATAATATGGCAGAAGTCGTTCTCTGTGGTAATATTTTGTATTACGAATTCTCTGCCTGTCATGGACGCGATAGCGTAATGTACGTGACAAAGCGGCTGGCGAAGCGGTGGTGGGAAAATTAACCGACGAAGGAAATGTTCACGGAACTGTGCTCTTCCTGTTCTCCATTTTAAGTGTCTAGTTTTGTACGTTCGAATTTCGAGAGCTACTCGTCTAAAAAAGCGCTTATTGTCAAAGCATTAATTGAGAGCTTTGATGGCGTAAATTGTTCTTTCGTTCTTGATCTACGTTCCAAAATAGTTATTGTCTTTACTTCATTTTCGCAATGCGTCACGCTGATTCGGATGTTTTCCCTCACTTCCACCCTCAAATTTAAGAACAAAACTAGTAAAAGGAATGGGGGAAAATATTAGGCAAAGAGAGGGCGCGAAGGAACTTGTGAAAGAAGGTGATACGTGAGAGAAAGAAGTCAAGAAACCATACGTAAGAAAAGAGAAATAGAGCGCGAGAGAACAGAAAGAATGAGGTAAAAATGTGTTAGTAAAATAGTGAAGAGAAAAAGAGACAGAAAGGTAATGAAAAGAGAAAGAGAGGGAGAGAGAGAAAGAGATTGATTAAATTAAAAGAGAGAACGAGAACAGAGGGAACAAAAAAGAGAAAATAAAGAGAAAGGGGAATAAAAAGAGATCGAAAGAGAAAGAGAACATTTGATGAACGGGAGGGAAAGGAATGAAGGTGACGAAAACAGCGTGTACAAAAACCAGGAACGAAACCGAGATAGTAAAACATAGTTTCGGGAGACAGGAAGCTCAGAGCATTTTCCGAGCCGCCTGGCGTGCTCGCAACCGTCCGTCGCATCGCGTCGCGTCGTCTGGCGGCCGCTCAACTTCGATTTATTTACAGTGACCTCATCAGCCGTTACGGTGCCATCCAATCGGGAGGTTAAACGTCACTACTGTAGGTGGCATCCAAACCCCCGTTTAGATGACATCGTAACAGCTGATTTGCGGCAACAGAGCATATGTTTAAAGCGAGGTTTTGCGACCGCCCGGCTCCGCAGCGCGCCGAGTCGAGGGCCGGCTGACTGTGGGCCGTGGCAGCCGCCGCCGCCTCCGCCGCCGCCGCGCGCGTCGTTATGTTGTTGCGTTGCTATGAGTTGATTGCCGCGGGCGCAGCGACCGCCGCCAGGCGAGCGGCGTGCGCCCCGGCGCTGCCGCCCCGGACTCGACCCCCCTCCCCCGCCCCCGCCACGCGGTGCCCCCACACTCCCAGCCGCGGGGAGGGGGCGGGGCACTCACCGTTCACGTCGTCTCTTGGACTGAGATACGAAAAATGTAAACAAGTATAAACCAACATTCCCCTGAGGGTGATGCCTAGGAAAAATTTCCCAAAGAAAATTCTACAATTAACAGTAATTAAATCATTAACTGAATTCATTTCATTAACCGAAGTAATTTAATAACCCTTGTTGCTTTTGAAGTTTAAATTCTTCGTTCCACGATTCGAAATTAATGTTCGCTCTCTGACTTAAGGTTTACTAGTTATTTAATGTTAGGTTCCGTTTTGTAAGTGAAGTATAGACTTCCTGCTTTTTCTATTCAAAAACAGTCAAAATTCTCATATAATTATCAAATCCATCAAAATTTATTTATTCAGTTATCTGAGAAATAGATAACTCAGTTTTAAAGTACGGTTCACTCTTGTGAGTTGTTTGACGATCGAAATATCTACATGTGGCTGTACAGTTGTTTGATCGGTTGGTACTCAAATTCTATCTAATTGGATATAAATCCGTCTTTAAATATAATGCATCACCTCACGGGGTTGTATATACTTCCAATTATCGGCTTTCTTTTATTTCAACGTTCTAAACCATGAAGTTGTATCTTAAATTGTTCTGCCATTTAGTCGAGTCTGGGGAGCTATGTTTCATTTTGTTACGCTTTGTACTTGAATGTGTGGGTAAACTATTCATCTACTCTGAATTGTAATTTCCTGGATCAGTGTTGCACCACATGCACCAATTTTAATGGCACGTTTTTTAAAAGGAGTGTCACTGATGTTTTCGTGTTTGTCGCTGTGTCATGAGGGAGACTGAGATGAGAGGACCGCTGCAAACGTTCCTCTCGATTTCTCGATTCCGTTCAGTCTGCTCGTTTGTTGTTTCATATTACTTCCATTGACTTTTTCTCTCTTTTCGGAAAGTGAATGTGTATCAAGGTCAGTGTGCAACGAATTGATCAGAAAGGTCCTCAAGTGACAGTGGTTCAGCAATTATTCTCAGCGTGTACAAAAAAAGTATTTCATTGAAAAAAAAAACAAGATTCAATTTTTCTCCTTCAAAATTGTTTTATTAATTTTCGCTCTTATTTGCTAAAGCTTTTCTTCAAAACTATCGATAGTCTATATAGTTATCTCTTCTTTCCAAAACTTTTAAAATGTTGGTTTCATATTTTTATTAGGTATCAGAGGGTTTAAAACAATATTTAAAGATGTAAATAACAACTTAAGCAAAATAATACACTGAAGTAAAATTAGAATAAAGTAAACCGTAATTTCACTGCTTGCTGTCAACGAAAGTCAGACTGAATAAACATATCGTTGTGTGTGCTACAACTTCGACAATCGCCTACTCCCTTAAAAACAGAGGGTTACTTTTAGTTTTCTCAAAAGCTACTAATCACATCGTAGGCTGAGAATTAATTCCCTTTGAGGGTAGTGGCGACTGAAGTAGCGTACAAGTACGATCCACGTTGCACACCGACCGCTGATGTCGAGTCAATGTCATGTCTTCCACGATTCTGCATGGAGAGAGCATGTATGTTAGTTCACTGAGAAAGGCTACGTGAAGCCTTGCCGTAAAGAAGGAAGAAAGGTTTGCTATGAAGTATGACGAGAAGAGATTTCACTTCCATGATCACTGGAGGATCCTCGCGAAATAAGGTAGTCTCGTACCACTTTTACGTTCTCGTAACGGTCGTTGGTACGTTTGCATGTATAGATCGTAGAACATGACATTCGCAAAATAGAGCTTGGCCTAGACCACACTCACAGATCCTCCAGGGAGAATGGTCTTACT